CAATTCAAGAGGTCATAGGCATTTGGAGATAGAAGGACTGGATCAGAGAACAGAGCTGAGCATGTGGAAGCTGGAGACCCAAGTGTTGTCAGGTCATTGAAAGATGGAGTCTAGAAAGGAAGGGAGAAGTACGAGGAAGAAGGGAAAGCAAGGGACCAGGGAAGCTATTAGAGGGCACTGGTGAAGATTTGCTGAGGGACCAGAGCAGGTTAGCATGAGATTCAATGAGTCTCAGCCTGTTTTGTTTAGAAAATCTCTTTCATTCATGCAAATGGCATTGAGTTCCTTGACATCATCGGATATGGGTCCAATAAATTTAAAGACAATGTGTTTCTAGTTCTAAGCCCTCAGTGCTTAGCATGTAAACAGAATTTGCAGTATTGAGCAAATGTCCCCATCACAGAGATGGTTAATTATCAATAAATGTTTATGGAATGTCCTTCCCTCCTTCCCTTTACCTTCTTACTCTCCTTATTATAAGGACAACTTCACTGTCAGCCACCATAGTGCTAAATACTGAAGGTTTTGAGATGAATGAAACATAGTACCATTGATTATTTAAGTGCTTTGGAAAGTTCTCATAAAAATGAGATTATTATGATTGTCACTTTCTCTTTACTTTTTTTTTTTCTGCACAGGAAGAAGTGCAGAGTCTGAGGCTGGAAGGGGTTTGAAGGTTCAAGGTTTAAGGTTGCTGGGGAACAAGGAAAGAGAAGCAGGGAGCAGTTTTTCTAGGGATTGATTTTTGTACCTCCCCACCCATCAATGTCCCCGTCACAGAGATGGTTAATTATCAATGTTTGTGAGAAAGCAAAGCTGCCGGGCCCTTTTGAAAGCATTCTGAGCACAAAGCAGGCAGCACATGCCAGGCTTTCAGCGCACAGATAATGCTTCTTGTTGAGCAGAGGTTTGTCTGTGTCTACCCATGCTCTGCCTGCCTCATAACAGGGCCAGCTGTTCCATTTCATCTTTGGCATCTTTTTTTGCCTTTTTTCTTCTCTTTCTTCTTTTCCCCCATCTTCTCTAAAATTCATAAAGATTGCTGTTTTCCATTGCCTATGCAGGATCAGAAACTAATAATTCAATAGCTGCTTTCCTTGTAGCTCCTTTATTTATTTATTTTTTTCCAGTGCCAAGGATCAAACTCTGGGCTATGCACATGCTAGGGAAGTGTTCTGCCGCTGACAAATTCCCAGCCCTTAACCCTTATGCTTGTAAAATTTCTATCAGCATCTACCATTTTCTTCCCAAACACGATCAGGATGGTGCCACACCTAATTCATGGATCTATCTGGGATTTTTTTTTTTAACCTTATGATTATCTTTCACACCCCAGAGTTAGGTTTCCTGGTTGCTAAATGTTTAATCAAAGCTGGGCATGGTGGTGCACTCCTTTAACCCCAGAATTTGATAGGCAGAGGCAGGCAGATCTCTGTGAGAGTGAGGCCAGCCTGACTCTACATAGCTAGTTCCAGGCCAGCTGGGGCTACAGGGAGACCCTGTCCCAAATAAACAACCAAAAACCAAAAAAACAAAAACAAAAATAAAATAAAAAAGCTTAATTGAATAGATGAACCTAACTAACGTATTTTATTCAGCCCCAGTCCTGTTTGCTTTTCCACACTTTTCTTTGAGGTTACTTTATTTTATTTATTTATTTATTTATTTATTTATTTATTTATTTATTTGTAGCTCCAGCTGACATTAAGTTTCTGATCCTACTGAATCC